CAGAATTAGGCCAACTGTCCAGGTCTTTACAGGTTTTTAATGGTGTGACTGGTTTGCATCTGTAAAAAGTTTGAAATTGTCAGGACCCTGCAACTATCTTTTGATCTGCTAGTGTGCCCAAATGTTCACTCAACACAGGGGAACAGCATCATTTCCAATACACAAAAAACGCCACACTCCAAAAAGGTAGTGGCCCTCACTTTTCCACCTTTAGCGTCACATGCCCTGAGCACTGTGGGTAGGTGTCTTGTAACATATGTTCTTCTCCACTTAAATTTAGTCCAGCAGTGTGTTTGAAAATGGGAATCTAGGGAACTGCTCATTACGCTCAGGCTCCTCCATGGGCTTATCAAAGTGAAAATCTTATGGAAGGTTTAACTTTTTGTTTTTTTCTTATCTTGGTTCAATATGAGTCTGCATGTGGCAATGGTACAGGCTCACAGAAAAAGTAACTTTCTTCTAATGCCTAACAGAAAACTTTACTAAAACTAAGTTTGTATGCTTCACGATAGAGCTTCTCCCTCATAATAATACCACCTAACTCTTATATAGTGCTTTTTATCAGTAGATCTCAAAGCACTTAACTCCATTTGTAAAGTGGTGTTATCCCCATTTTACAGATGGGGAAACTGAGGCACAGAGTAGGGGAGGGGGAAAGTGATTTGTCCAAAGTCAGCCAGCAGTCTAGTGCCAGAGTTAGGAGTAGAACCCAAGTCCCTAGAGTTGCACAGCTCTATCTACTAGGCCATGTTGCTATCTTCCTGCCTGCCTTCCTGCTACAAATTACAGTACACACATCCTCACAAATGTGATTTGTGTCTATATACAAAATAGTTTATGCTTAGCAGCTGACCACCTCCTTCCCTTGCCAGCAGCATTGCTCCTGCAATCACTTACGCATATGATTAACTTTACTACTATACCATGAGTGCTATTTATACTAATAAAGATAAGAATGTATGTAAGGGTAAAACAAAAGCAAAACAAAAAACCCTGCAGCAGCTAGTCATGGAGCCAGGGTCAACTGATTTAGACTCATGCTGTGGGGCTAAAATTAGCAATGTAGATGCTTGGGTTTGGGCTGAAGCCTAGACTCCAAGACCCTCTCTGCTCACTGGGTTTCAGAGCCCAGATTCCAGCCCGAGCCCAACATGTCTACAGTGCTATTTTGAGCCCCACGAGCCCAAGTCAGTTGACTTGGGCTCTTGTCACTTCTCTGGGTCTTTTTTTTTTTTTTGGCTGTGTAGACATACTCTTAGGGCTTGGCTACACTTGCGAGTTACAGCGCAAGAAAGGAGGCCCAGGCGCACTAGCTCACTACCCGTCCACACTGACAAGGCACGTAGAGCGCTCTGACTCTGCGGCTGGATCTGCGTGCAAAAACAGTTGGGAAGCATGATAGACATGACTGCTCAAGCATGACTGATACATGATTTTGTTGCAGAAAAAACCTTCAACATGGATTCTACCATGTCTGTTGTAACCAGGTAACATTGACCTGAACAGAGTTGCATCAGGGATGAATTTGCCTATAATATAGACAGCCCTCAGAAGATACCTGTGAACTCCACGTTTTATGCTTTGTTTGCATCTGAGCAAGTGGGTTGAGAAGACAGGGTATAGCCTGGGCAGGGTGGCCTTCTCTAGTGCCTTTTTTAAATTGTTAGGTAAGATGATTATGCCTGTGGGGTCTTTTAATTTCACATTCATTGTTTGTGAGCTCAGAGAGATGTTGATAGACACATTAGAAAGTAAAAATACTATAGGGAGCTTGTTTGTTTTTCTACTCACTTGAGAAGCCACAGCCAATATAGGGCCAATTTTGAGGCCTCCCAAATGAATAACAAATAGAGACTAGGCCCAGGTCCTCATAGGTTGATTTCAATAGACGTTAGGCGGCTAAACACCTTTGAGGGTCTGGGCTCTACAGCTCAGGACTAAAGGTGGAGTTTAGATCTCAAGGGCAGATTCATCCCTCCCATGGGGAAAGGATGAGAGAGAGAATGAACCACATGTGGCAGAGTTAATCATGTCACGTAATACCCTACACCTCAGAAACCACAGTGATGGGGGGAGAATAAGATCCTTTATAGAGTAGAATGGCATATACAAACTCAGGTATACTAGAATCACTGGCTTTCTGCTACAAAGATGTGTCCAAAGATGGTACAGTTTCTTACCATAGGGTGATCAGTCAATCTCAAAGAGCACAAAGCATCTTTTCCAGGAGACTGGGGTTCACTGAGAAACCATAGGAATAAGTCCAATGCTCAGCATGCCTTTCTTTTAGGTAGGTGTGCTAGGTACAGAAAGAACAGGTATAATTCATTCTTGTCATCCTAATTTTGTAAGGATTCTATTAGTGATGCAAGAAAACCACAGGATACCACTAACTATTACTGGGCCTTCACCCCCACCTACTTCCTGGCTGTTCTTACCGAGATCTTTGCCTCAAGTCCCAATCACTTACTATAACTAACCTCCATTGTTAGCGTATTATTGGACACTAACCATAACTAATCCATCATACAGTCACCCTGCTGATTGGCTTAATGGGGTCTATCAGAGACTGTGATTCATACAAAAATGAGGCAGTGTTGTCTAGTAGGCTGAGCAAGAGTCAAAGGCCAGGAACTCCTGAATTCTAATCCTAACACTGACTCACTGTGTGATTACATTTTCCAGTTTTTAATAACCCTTGTCATTGTTTTGGTATCTCCATAACTGTGAGTGGTTCTGTTGTGTTCAGCAACAAAGGCTGTTACCATCTGACAGATACTGAGGATGTAGGTCAAAGGTTACTCACAAAGGAAGACAAAATCAGGCATCAGGCTTGTGTAGAAGTGGATTGGTCGGATTGGCGGCATGGTTTGTTTGTTTGTTTTGCTGTTTTCTGTTAAATTAAAGGCCTGGATGGGTTTTTATCTTCGTACAGTTCTTGAATACCCTGGAAGTCTTTGTGGACAATTGGAGAAGTAGGGGGATTCTGACATACCAAGGAAGTAAAACCTGCTTCATTGAAGAGGGAAATGAGTTTTAGGGGCAAACTTAGGAATTTACAAAAAACAAACAATCTGAGGGTATGTCTACACTACCCACTGGATTGGCGGGCAGCAATCGATCCAGCGGGGGTCGATTTATCGCATCTAGTCTAGACGCGATAAATCGATCCCCAAGCGCACTCTCGTCGACTCCTGTACTCCCCTGCCGAGAGAGGCACAGGCAGAGTTGGCGGGGGAGCGGCAGCAGTCGACTCACCATAGTAAGACACCGCAGTGAGTAGATCTATGTAAGTTGTGTAACTTAGATCGATTCTCCCCCTCCCCACCCCCTCAGTGTAGACCAGGGGTAAGACTCTTGGGAGAAAAATTCTCTTTGTAAACAATTCAACACCCCTCCCTATCCATCAACTCAAAGCTAGAAAAACTCTAAATACACATTTCTGAGTCCTCCAACACTCAACAGATAAGGGAAGACATGATTTGACAATCCTGATACTTCTAAAGGAAAAAACACCTTTCAGGTATACATACATATTTTGAAGAAACAAATAAGGTTTCAGCCCCTTTAAATCATTTCTCTTTGCAAGTCACTAAGAAGAGAGAAAGAAAGAGACGAAATACAGTGTAATATTTCAGTACATGACCCTGGCAAGAGATTCTCAGAATTGGCAAAAATTTGTTCTACTTCAGATTTTAAATCTGGTTTATGCAACATTTAAATACTGATAATAGTTTATGGTAACTTGAAAGTTTCCTATATTTACTTTGGAGTCAAATAGTGAGTTTCATTTTCTGTATTGTAACCTATAGTTTGCTGTCAAGAGAGCAACTTTCTTTTCCACTGTTTCTTTTATTTAAACACTTCGCATATTTTTAACGATTAAAGCCTCAACCCTACTTTTCTTTGAAATGCAGATTATATGTTTTCCGTTAATCAGAAAAATTAAAGTTGTCGTTTTAGTTGTTGTTAGATCATAGATACTATAAAGATCTCGACTTCCTATAATCAAATAGATAAGCGATCTCAAATAGGAAATAGCATCCTGAAAATCTGTTTGTCCGTACAATCTACAAGGCCCTGATTCTGCAAAGACACATGCTTGACATTAAGCACAAGTGTTTCCTTTAAAGTCAAAGGGCCCCAATCCTGCAAGCATGCACATAAATGGTCCCATTTACTACTTAAATGCATAAATGTTTTGGGACTTAGGTTTGAGCGAGTCTTATTTTTAAACTTACCTGTAACAAAGTTTTTAACATTTCTCATCATTTGAATTGCATAGAAATCTGTTTAATCCTATTGTTAACAAAGCTACAGCAACTGAGATCGACGCTCACACTGCGGCATAACAGTGGTCTGTACCAGAAAGATCTCACCAAATGGAAGTTTTTCCTGAGTAAAGACTATGGACTTGTATCAGGATATCTTGGTAAAGAAGATATAAATAAGGTGTTCTGCTGAAGGTGGAATGGAAGTGCTAAATTCTAATAAAGGCCCGAATATGCAAACACTTTGCATGTGCTTATCTTTACTAATGTAAGCAGTCCCCTTGTTAGCACAAGTGTTTACAGGCTGGAGGCCAAAGAAATAATTATTTTATTTAATTATAGTCTTCTTATTATTATTTTTTAAATTTTGGGTCTGTCATCCTATTGGTTAAGAAGGTAGCATGCATGATTTTTCTATGACCCCAAAGAATTACCTATTCCAGTGTAGAAATTCTTAAAACAACCTTAACATTTTGTGGCTCACCTTGCTTTTTAAACTTTCAACCTTTTACTGCGCAAAGCAGGATAATCTATCACTTCTCTGAGTATTATCAAGGGAACAAAAGTATGGTACTGGGAGATATTTAGGAGGCAGTGTATCTTTAAGCATCTCCACCTTGGAATCCACCTACTTCTTTCTAGCTGCAGTAATCTTGTTGACTCACTCACATTGGTGGTGTGCTCATACAGTAACCAGCATGAGCTGTAGTTTTTAAAAGCAGACCTGTCACCATGTACTTGCCATTTTACCTCACTGGGGCTGAAGCTGTATAAAGGTAACAGTTTGGTTTTAGTTTTGAAGATCTTGCAAAAAGATAGTCCCTCCTCTCTTCCTGGAAAAGCCAGACAGACCAGTTGGATACCTTTCAGGCCTCAGCTCAGAACTTTATTTGTTCATCCCTCTGCCTTTTTAAAGTAGAAAGACCTGACACACTCTTAAGAACTGAGAACCTTATTGATTTAAACAAATGGCTAATCCCAATGCTGTCAGCAATGGACATCTACATTGTCATCAGAAACGGAATAATCTCTTAAAAAGTGGAATCTATAAGAAAAATGGAATTGCTAAAGAAATTAAGGTAAGATTTAACCACTTATTTAATTGCTCTGAAATCGTTTAGATGAACAGTTACAAATTTATTTAATAAGAAAGCTTTGTAATCATCTGTCTTCATTTTTCACTGAATGGATGGTACACTACTGGCTTTTTCTGTTAAGTTTTACCCACATGGGACCTGATCCTGCATTCTTTGCATCACTGGCTGAAGTCAATGAGTTTTATGGGTGCTCAAGGACTATAGACTGGAGCCCTTGACCTAACTAGATTTTGGTATTTCATATTAGAAATAGAGAAACCACACACACTTTAAAGTTGTGGTTCCCTAAAGCGTTCCTACTCATGGTGCTGATACTGGTTTGAAAACTTATTTTATTCCTTTAGAAAGTTTGTGTGAAGTGTTTTTATTATGATTTGATGCTGCACACGTGTGATTTAGAAATGAGGAAGGAGAAAGGTTTTGTTGTTGTTGTCTGTAGCTTGATTTTCCTGGTGATTATACTATTGTATGCCTGGCATTGTGCCTAGTTTACCAAGGCATGCTTAGCAGGCTTAACAATTGAACTTTTTTTATTTACACTAATTTTGCAGTGTTGTCAGTACTTAAAAATCAGATTAATCTGCAGACCACTCTTTCAAAGTGTTGACCTGCCTCTTTGAAACCACAGCCTTTCATGTGCATGAATGCCTCACGAGAGGTGCATGGTTTTCCCCATATGGTACATCAAAACCACAGGTGTTCTCTTGTTAAACAGGTTGTATGGACTACATTTTAAAAGATGTGTGTAGGTGAAGCCTATCATTATCATAAATGTGCTGGATTTTCAAACCAAAGTTGTGCTGTTTTTGAGACTATATTGATGGCTACATCATTTTTGAGCTAAAGTTTAGTTGGGAATAGAAAAAGTTTAAGAGCTAAATTTTGTGCTTTGTGCCTAAGTGCTTACCTGACATTTTTTTTCTAATTTGGCTTATGTCTAAAGCTTTAGGCAATGACTGTAGCTCTTTGAATTGCCAGGCTCAGATGCATTAAAATCAAGAAACTTCTGTCTTAAGTCTTTTCATAATGAGAAGCTCACTCATTTACCACCCTCATTAAGGCGGGTAAGGACACACCCAATGTAAAAGTTAGTGGGTGCTGGCCCCAGGAGTCTCCAGCGTGAGTGGCTCTTGGTTTCTGGCCCAACCCCATTGTGGAAGGGAAGAAAACTTGTGCAATGACAGGGAAAACCATGTCTTGGGATTTGCTCCTATAAACCAATTGTGAAATTCTGTGACATCATTTTTAAAAATTAAAAATATTTCCATTTGTAATGTATGAAATCTATACTTTTAGCATTGGTAGCAAATTCTTAGGTGTGCATCTCACCCTCCAGAAATAGTTAAGTGGCTGGACAAAGAATAAGAAATTGTTACAGTAGCAAATTCAGAAGTGTGAAAAGCTTTGCCACCTATTAATAAATAGGAATATAGCCAGAAAAACAGAATGCATGTATTTGGGGGTAAGTGGTAAGAAAACAATGACTGGGACATGGCGGGGGTGGTTACTTGATGCACCTGTAAAAGTTGGGAATTATGACCCTTAAACACCAAATCGGAGGAGGAGAGGGGGGCATTATTCAATAATTTTGCTGTTGAGGGGATTTGAGGGGTGCAGAGTGTTTTATTGGGTGGGTTCAGTTGATGGAGGGCTGCAGCTGGTTCTGCCTCTTGGTTTCCTTGGTCTCCTGCTTTTTGTGCTGTTGGACCTCGCAGTTGCTGCAGCTCTCAGTCCATGCCCTGGCACAACATGGCCACCCACTGCACGAATGCCTCATCATCCTGCTTCCGATGAATCTGCCCCTTCCCTGATGGGCTGGGGCATCCATCTACAAACGACCACCCTGAGGTGCTCGTAGCCTTCCAAGCTGGGGGTCAAGTCCCTGTTGGATTTTTCATTGCTCCACCGCTTGTTTGGCGACACCGCAGTGAATGTGTCCGGGGGCTGCTGCCAGTCGAGGTGCCAGCCTCGAGAGCTTTGGGGCTGCCACTGCCATTGTGAAAGAGACAGCATTCTAATATGTAGCACTTTCCAGCTTTGTATCTCAAAGCTGTTACAGGGGGGGAATATCATTATCCCCAATGTATAGATGGAGAAACGGATGCACAGAGATATTAAGTGGCTCACTCAAAGTTGCAGCGAGTCAGTGCAGATCTGGTCTGAGAATCCAAAACTATGTCTATGCTGCCTGCCATTCAGACTGCTGGGGTGTAAATAGCAATAAAGGGTGTAAAGAGCTGCACTGTAACCCCCCGGGAGGATGCTGTGGGCATGAACTAAAAGGCTCCTTGTTCCCATTCATGTAAGTCCTTTTTGAAAAGCATTAAATGAACACAAACCAAGAATGCAAACTAGGAACCTTTGAGTTCAGGCCTGCAGTATCCACACAGGGCGGCGGGGGGGATGGTTTACAACCCAGCACTTCGGTGCACACTGCTGTTTATACCCTCATAGCCCAAACTGCAGGGCAGTGTAGACAAGCACAGATCTCCTAAATTCCAGTCCCAGGCCCTATTATTATCTGTCTGCCCTATTCAGAATACCCTATGCTGCTTCTCTCATTGAACTACATTGCCTGCTACAAACACAGATTGAAGGAGGAGGGGACAAGAACAGACAGGAGAGCTGTGTACAACAGGAATCTTGTTCCTGATAGGAATCTACCTTTCCTTGTCTGGTCTGTCTCTTCCTCCCAGCTAACCCTGCCCTTGTTTTATCATGTTTGCCAGTTCTTTGCCATCCACACATGTAGTGGATGCTGCTGCTACTCTGTCTCTTGTACTTGTCTGGCCTCCATCACTGTAGCACTTTACAATCCTTAATGTATTTATCATGACAGCTGCCCTGTGACACAGGGAGACTCCATTATCCCCATGTTACTGATGGGGAATGGAGGCACAGGGAAACTAAGTGATCAGACAGGAAGCCTGTGGCAGAGCAGGAATTGAATCCAGGTCTGTCATAATTCAGGCTGGTGTCCTAATCACTGAACCTTTTCCCCCACTTATCATTGCTCCTCACCCTGACCCCACTTTTCTGCCCATTCATTACTGATGAGTAAGTGACATGCATGGGGAGTATCCCACTGAGACAGGATGCTTGGATGATGTAGTTGATAAAATTGGCTCTGACACTGATCTTTAACTAGTCACTTAGACCCAGATCAACAAAGGTATTTAGGCTTGCATTGAAATCAAGACCCATCCAAGACCACAGGCAAGTGCTCGGGGCAGGAATCCCCTCCCACCACTTGTGCTGCTGTGACTACACTCTACTTTTAGCATGCTAGCTCAATCAGAGCTAATGGGCGTATATCTTCTGAAGCTTGGAATCATGCCCCCCAGCTCAAAGTGTGGACATACCTCCTGCTTAGGCCTATGGTTTCTCAGGGTAAGTGGTAGCTTGAGAGGGGACACAGAGGCTACAATGGGGTCGTGAAAGTGGCCCCACACAAAGCCAGGAACTGGAGGATGCAGCAAGAGTTGCATGTGAGGGTACATCTGCACAGGGATAAAAATCTTGTGGCTGGCCCTCCGTGACTGTGAAGGGTCCCAGAGCTTGGGCTCCGGCTTGAGCCTGACCGTCTACATCGCAATTTTTAGCCCTGCATTCAGAGCCCCATAAGCCCACGTCAGCTGATCCAGGCCAGCCCTGAACGTGCCGTGGGTCTTTTATCCCTCTGTAGACATACCCAAAGTGATCGACTGGCACATCAGACTTTGCAGAGTTCAGCCTCATAAATTTCTTTGCTGAGAAGCTAGCAGCAAGCAAACTGATTTGGGTTGGGATCAGTGACACGTTTTGCATTTGAATGGTGTGAGACCACGTGTGTGTGTGTGTGTGTGAGAGAGAGAGAGAGACTGTCCTGGACCTGCAAAACCCCAAAACATTTGTTCTTAATGGAGGGTGTTTTCAAATGGGCTGTGGAGCTGGGGACAAGGGGCAGAGGGCAATCTGAAATTACCAGGTGTGGGGAGGAGTCAGGTTCTGCCCAATTCTAGCAATTTGTGGCATGCTATTGCTGATCGCAGAGGATGATGGGAAAAGAGGTAGCATTAAGTGGGGAGCAATGCAGGAGTTCCAGGGCACTCTGCTAGGAGAGATGCTGTTGTCTTTGGGAAAGAGGCCTAAGGCCCTGGCGGAATGGGACTGTGGGAGAGAGCCAACCCTCTCCCCTTTTTAATGCAGGAAGTTACCATATAGGGGAAAGCAGAAATTGTATGGCTCCTTGTTCTGGGACCTTTGGTAAGTCACTCTGTTTGACCAGCTCTTCATTGCGATCGTAACAGTCAGGAGACCTAGTTTACAACAGGGTTACATGTGGTAATGCAGACAAGGCCCAATTGTGTCCCCATAACGAGGCTGATCACTTGAATTACCCAGGGGTTTAATCTGGTTACAGGGATATGGTTAAAAGATGGAGTGTAGATAGAGCCCCCTAACCATGTTGTAGCTGGGGAGGAGATGGGGGCGGCAACTGGATTGTAATTAAGTTCCCTCCCTTTTACAGGGGTATGATTTATAAAGCGCACTTACATGTTGCACATTAATTGGTCCCTGTAGACCCTGCTGGTGTGCACTCGTGGTCCCCTAGTGCACTTTAATGTACTATAGTTTCAAAGAGCCACAGAGTTCCTATGTGATATTGGACAAGTCATATAAACCAGAATGTTCACAGGTGTGTTCCTCATATTCTGAGTGCCCAATATAAGTCACCTGCAATATGGCTTGCAGTTCTGAGCATTCAGTACTTCTACAACTGAAGTCAATGAGAGCTGTGGTGTGAACATATAAAATGGTAAATTCTCCGAAAAATCATCCCATAGACATCTCAAATTGGGCACCTTAAACATATGTACCCTTTTGTCCTTAATCTCTCTGGATATGTCTACACAGAGAAAAAAAAAAACAAAAAACCTGCAGCAGCTAGTTTCAGAACCTGGGTCAACTGACTCGGGCTCATAGAGCTCACACTACAGGGC